TAAACCTGTGCTCTAGCGCACGGGTATGAAACCTGGCTTCCCTAAGTTAGTGGCAAAGTTCCCAATGATTTTAGTACAGCCAGGATTTCTCATTTCAATAGAGCTGTGAGTCATCTACCACCCTGTTCTCCCTTACCAGTGGCTGTCATGTCCCTCGTGCGGTCTTCTATGCGAGTTTGGTTTTTTGAATGAGTCCTTGCTGCAGTGCCAACTTGAGCTGTATTTCTTCTCTGTGAAATACACTTTGGCTGAAAGAAAACCCAGCACCATGTTATGTCTCCTGTTCTACATATCACCTACAATGAAGTCACTTTTCTCTGACCTGATTCAAACTGAGATGAGGTGAAATAAGTATTTATTTTGCTTGTCACTGTGTGTATAGGACATTTCCATGCTGCTTCTGCAGAATCAATCGCTTCCTCCTTCAGTCTAGTTTTGTACATAGCATCAGTCCCCCAAAAGCTGATGAAATAAAATAGGGTTAATAGCCAAATAGGGTTAACAGCAACATAGTTGTTTTGGGAGCTGGTGGTGGCAAGAAAAACTGGTACATTGGCAACTTGTGAAGAAGCTGAGCTCAGGTCTCCATTGTCCTGCCATGAGACTGCAGAAGTTACTTGGTGTAGATGTGTCACAATGCAAATAAATACTGAGAGGTGTTTTTGAAAAACATCAGTATGCAAATGTCTTTGACAAAGGCAAATGCGATAACTTGCCCTGTGTCTGTCAAACCAGAGTATTACTTCTAACTACAAAAGAAGTGCTATGAGGTCTCATGGTTGCGTTGTCAGACTTACGTAAGCACTGTGATACCTGGTCCAAATGTGCATGCAAACTTTAAGTTACAGGCTTCTCTTACCTACCAGAAATCATGATATAAAACACATAGCAGCTGCTTATTGTCTCATCTGTTCTTGGTGCTGGTTTGTTTTAAAGCTGCAGCTGTAAAGCAGGGTATGGCTGTAATGGAGATGTAGGTCAGTAAGGATTGGTATGTTATTGTAATATCAACTGCAAGTGAAATGTGCATTTCTTTTAGGGGATTTTTATTTGCATCATGGTGTATTTTTTGTGATGTCCGTGTAGTGTTAGTGCTGGGTTTACAAAAGAAGATGATTTCAATTCTTTTTAGGAACCCTACAAATGAAAGAAAGCAGATAGGGGAAACAGGTATTGCTGAGAAGGGCAGCATAATGTGGACACTGTGTCATTAGTGCCAAAGGTGAGTGATATTATATATATAAAGCATTTTTGTTGGCTTTAGAAGACTTTAGGTTGGGATGTAGCTTTGCATACTGCCTCACTGAAATGGAAAAAGTGATATGGTTCAAATATATCACAAAACTATTAATTTGCAAAACCAACATATTTGTATTTTTCTGCACTTCTGTTTCATGCTGATAATGAGCCTTTCTTGTTACCATAATCAATATGGTTTGGGGTTCTGTTGGGTATAATGGGGAATGAACTCTCATTTTTATGTTTTTTTGTGTGATGTAAAACTGAAGCAGTGGTTGGGGTGATAGTGGTTGCTCTTCCTGCAGCAACAGAGGAATAATGCAGCAGTTGCATTCCTGGAAAGAGCTTTTTTTAGTTAAAAGATACTCTTCAGCTCCTGTTATCACCCAGTGTGTTATGAACCGGGAGTAAATGTGATACTGGATATTGGAGGTCAGGCTTCCTGGTTTTCATTGGTTCCTACAGGAATAACAAGAGTCACCTGCAGAAAAGGCTGAATGCCAGCTGGAATCATCCTTATGAAATGAGTATGCATCTCATGAAAATCAATCTGCGCTCAACACGAATTAGCATGCTTTATGCTCAGCTGTAATGCTGCCATAAGATTCCTTGAAGAAGGTTTATAAATCCTCTAAAGCCACCTTTCAACATTCATTTCTTTATGTAATTAATTTATTCTAGTGCATGTAAGCATCTGTTATAAGCTTATAGTGGAATCTTATCAAGAACAGTGATGGTGCTCAGTTGTTAAAAGCTTCAGAACAACAAAAAGAAAAAATGATGCAGTGGTGGAGAAAGTTTTTCCCCTTATTGGGGAAAGGTAGCTGGGGAAAACTTTGTTGCCACTCATAAAGCATTTACACTGGCATAAGCTTGGGAGTAGCTTTGGGCTGATAAATCATTATAATTAAAAAAATCCTTTTAGCTGTGCTTTTCTAAGCACTGAATTAAGATAGGTAAGTTACAATTCCCATGTTAGAGAGGGATGTGCCAGCCTGAGCTAAATTATTTGCGTGGGACCGAGGTTTCAAAGCAGAATCCAGGTGTCCTGATGTCCTAGTACTCCCCTCCTGCCTCTAAGTAATTAGATTTGGTGTTTGATAAAAAGTACTCTGATTTGGTAACAGCAGGTGTATTGTCAGAACAAAAAGATAACCAACCAGCTTGTGATGTGTAGTAGGTAAATAAACAGGGAGTCTGAAACCTTAGTTCACTCTTGTCAGATAAGCTGAGCGCTGTGCCTGGATGCATTGGCGTGGATATCCTCACGCTGTTTCACCATATGCCTTAGTATTGGCGTAGCTGTCTTTTGAAGGAGAGAAGTCCTGCCTTTGGGAAAGGTTTTTCTTTGTGTTGAGACTTCACTGCACTAGTCAAAAGGGCCGGAGGGGGTGGGGGGGGCGGCGCTGTGTGTGCACGTGGTAGTTTCCTAACAAAAGGTGCTTAATTACTCTTCGGCCTTAACATGGCCAAAGGGTAGTAGGTATCAGTTGCTTACTGTGTTTGGTTGCTATTTCTAGAGTTACTGGAGAAGGTTAATGGGGCTCTAGCCCTTCCTAGAGCGATATGTGCAACATGAGATATACTGGCACAAGTTCCTTCTCCCTTCCTATCCTACCATTATAAAATGAACTTGAACCATTGACCCTGGAGACTTCTGGTGTGTCAGAGGACTTGTGTAATTCCTATTATCTTTCTGATTTCTGAATCTGTTGAATTGATGTTTGAATTCACTGATTTTTATTTGAAGTTCCGCTCTGAACAGGAGTGCGAAGTATGATGTATTTTAATTAAGCAGGTGCATGGTGGCATCCAGGACCCATGATTTATCTGAACTCTTCCCTTTTGGCATGTGTTGTAATCAAGCAAGAACTTACATTACTAATGAGCTAATTTCTCCTTCTTCAGTAAAAAAAAAAAAAAAAGTAGATGTGTTTAACATCAAACTAAGACTCCACCAATCTGATTTGTTCCAGCTGCTATCTGGGAGCAGACTGGGGAAGCAAGATGTCGAAGGAATTCAAGCACTGTTCAGAAAACAGTAGCTTATTCTCGGTGTAAGGTGGCAAGTAGCCAAATTGTGTAATGTAGTTTTTCTGATGACCACTGCATTTGTGGCTCTTGATTTGGGAGATGGGGAAGCCCTGACGGCTTCCGTGTTTCTGTAGAGTTTCTCTTCTGGCTGTGCTTGGATAACTAAGGTATGGGTGGCAAGTGATGTTTGCCTGGGGCTTGCTGTAGATGATGGAAAACACATCCAGGAAATATTTTTGAGTGTCACAAGGTTTGTGTACACCACTATTTTGTCAGAATGATGCAATTACCTGGTAATGATAAAGTTTTTCCTATAGCCTGGGAAGGGAAGAGTGGTTTTGTTTCTTCTTCTCTAGTTCTGTAGTAGATAAATTGTGCTATTAAGTAAACCTAGCCCTTAAGCTCTATTTAAATATATAAAATAGTTGTTAATAAATGTGTTAGTAGGAAAAGCTGATCAATAAGTGATACTGTTTAATAAAAAAACCTCAAACAACAAACTAAACATTTTTGATTGTTGCTCCTGATGCTCCCACTCAAATGTAGAATTGTCCTGTAAAGAGACTTCATGAATACTCTTTACCATGAAAGTTGAGAGCAATAAATTCTAGTTAATTGATTATTTCCATGTTCTATAGGCTTGAGGGAGTAATCAATAATGCCATGCAGTACATACTGCATCGCATGCAGTATGCTTAATGATAGAGAAATGTTGGCAAGAGCAAAGTATCCTCTGTTATATTTCATATATAGCATCTATGTAAACTTTTCTTGGTCAAAAGTAAAAGCAAGCAATGTATAAAATCAAAGATTTGTTTTTTCAAGTTCATGCATGAACTGAAGCTGCTGAGCTACTTTTAGTCATCCTATTTGTGTTTAGCTCTTTCTGTCAGGTAGTTCTTTAATATGTCACTGCATTTAACAACCTCCTCTCATGATAAGGCATGTCAATCCTAATATTGTTGTGGGGTGAGGAGAGAGCAAGAAGCAGGAGGAAGGGCATTTAGATGACTTGCCTTTTGTCTGGCAATCACAAGCTGGGACATAAAAAAAAGTCTTGGATTTAAGAAAGAAATGTGAATACATCATGACTGATGTGATTGAGTGCATCATTAAAGATGATGGCTTGACCTTGACTTGATTGTCTCAAATACGAGCATTTATTTTCCTTTCTCTATTTGCGGCTCTATAGTGCCACAAAGGATGTGCAGGGACCTTGTGATGACAGCAAGCACCTATAACATGGGGCTTGTAGGTTCACTGTGCTGTGTTCATCCATAATGTGGTCTGGGTACAAGGACCCTGAATGGAGTATTGGCCCATGGAGTGGCAGCAGATGGTTGTCTTCTGTTCACCTTTTACGCAGTTCAGAGAAGCATTGCTTACTGTATTAAGCGCCTGAGATAAGAGGCAGCGTATAATTACAGTCACAGTCTCCATTGCTGCTCTTCATGTGACTTTAAAGCATCCCCAGATAACTTTTGACTAATGTAGACACTAGTAACTTACTCTAGTATGTAATCAGAATGCATTACATGGGACACACTTAAGATGAACCACCTTGACACTGCTGATTGCTGTATGTAGTGTTTATTCCCTAGTTATGTTTTGTTTGTTTGTTTTGTTTTGGTGTTTGGTTGTTTTTTCCCTCCAAACAAGAAAGTGGAGCAGACAGTTTGCATTCTTGGATTCTTTCCTTTTCTCCTGTCTTCTGTTTTCAGGTTAGTGCTCGGTTCTCAAAACGTATCCAGGCAAAAATCAAGGACCTTCTGCAACAAATGGAGGAAGGGCTGAAGACGGCAGACCCCCATGACTGCTCTGCTTATACTGGCTGGACTGGTGAGAACGCTAGAATTTGGGTGGGTGTAATTGGGTTTATTCACTGGAGGAGGTTCTGATATTCTCACAGGAGTGGCAGAAATACTCTGATACAGGCATTTGTGTGAGTTTGTTCTTTTAACTCTGAACCCTTGGTCGCTACTGTCTGGAATGACTTCCATTGACTTCATCAGACAAAGCTACAGAGAGATAATTGGCTTTTGTAGATGGAGATCTTTATCTTGCAGAAGGAGAGGATTTTCTAAGGCTGTTCTTTCTTTCAGCTTACCTCTTGTTTCTTTAAGGTTTTCTTAAAAGGAGTTATTTTCACCTTTTTCTGTTGAACTGACCATTACTTAGCAGTTGTCTAATGGTAACAACATCTTCCAGTCATTGTGGGAGGGGAGCTGGGGGAAGGTGTTCTGTGCCCAGGAGCTTGGAGCCTTAAGACCTGGAATATTGGTAGTTTGTCTGTGCTTGTTCTGTCTGTACAAAAATGATAAAATGAATGTGTGAGGAGGGGGAGTACGGAGGTGCGGTTGCAAGATTGTGAAGTTCATGAAGATAAACAGGCATGTGCAAGCGCTGGTTATTGCTCAGCACCATCGTTTAGCATTGCGTCACTGATGCTGTCCAAATGTTGAATGAGCCCTTCTGATCCTTTAGGCAGAGCCTGCAGTTGTCAAGCCTAATGCAACCACTGCTCTTCAAGCTGCCAAAACGCTTTTCCATCTAGGCCTCTTAAGTGCCACTTTGCTATTACAATGGTATATTCTATTTCTGCTCTGCCTAGTTCACGCTTCAGGCTTACTTATGCTTTTAGCACAGCATGTTTGAAATGTGCCCTGAGGAGATCTATTCTTTTATCTTTGTGTTGTGAGGGGGAGCAGCTTGGAAAAACTCCCCAGGCTTTGTCTGAGCTCAGGCTTAATTCTGGCAACAAAAGGGTAAAATTTCTTTGCTTTCTTCTTGTTGTTTCGGTACAGATGGTGCTGTGGGTGGATGGGTGGGGAAGTTTTAGACAACTCAGATGGTACATGTGTTTCAAGGGCTGAAAGTGAGTGGCTGGTGAGTGAGTGCAGAAGATCTCAAGTGGTAGGCTTTCTCTCGCTGACATTAACAAAACAGCTCCCAGGGAGCTGTGTGCTGGCACTGTGACTGACAACTGAAGTTACGGCCGATAAATCAGAGCATGCTGAAAATGAATCATAAGCTAAAAGTGACACAGCCATCATTAGCTGAAGAAGATCGAATCATAGAATCATTTAGGTTAGAAAAGACCTCCAAGATCATAAAGTCCAACCATTAACCTAGCACTGCCAAGTCCACCACTAAACCATGTCCCCAAGCGTCTACAACATCTTTTTAAATAGCTCCAGGGATGATGACTCAGCCACTTCACTGGGCAGCCTGTTCCAATGCTTGACAACCCTTTCAGTGAAGAAATTTTTCTTAATATCCAATCTAAACATCTCCTGGTGCAACTTTAGCCCATTTCCTCTTATCCTATCGCTTGTTACTTGGAAGAAGAAACCGACACCCATCTCGCTACAGCCTCCTTCCAGACAGTTGTAGAGAGCGATGAGGTCTTCCCTCAGGCTCCTTTTCTCCAGACTGAACAATCCCAATTCCCTCAGCTGCTCCTTATAAGACTTGTTCTCCAGGCCCTTCACCAGCTTCATTGTCCTTCTTTGGACACGCTCCAGCACCTCAATGTCTTTCTTGTAGTGAGGGGCCCAAACTGAACACAGGATTCGAGGTGTGGCCTCACCAGTGCCAAGTACGGGGGCACAATCACTTCCCTCCTCCTGCTGGCCACACTATTTCTGGTACAGGCCAGGATGCTGTTGGCCTTCTTGGTCACCTGGGCACACTGCTGGCTCATATTCAACTGGCTGTCGACCAACACCCCCACCCAGGTCCTTTTCTGCCGGGCAGCTCTCCAGCCACTCCTCCCCAAGCCTGTAGCATTGCATGGGGTGGTTGTGGCCCAAGTGCAGGACCTGGCACTTGCCTTTGTTGAACCTTATACAGTTGGCCTTGCGCCATCAATGCAGTCTGTCCAGATCTCTCTGCAGAACCTTTCTACCCTCCAGCAGATCAACACTCCCACCCAGCTTGGTGTTGTCTGCAAACTTACTGAGGGTGCACACGATCCCCTTGTCCAGATCATTGATAAAGATATTAAACAAGACTGGCCCCTATAGTGAGCGGGAAACACCGCTTGTGACCAGCTGCCAACTGGATTTAACTCCATTCATCACAACTCTTTGGGCCCGGCCATCCAGCCAGCCTTTTACCCAGTGAAGGATATGCCTGTCCAACCCATGAGCAGCCAGTTTCTCCAGGAGTATGCTGTGTTAAACTGTGTCAAGGGCTTAGTAAAGCCTTTAATGATAGCCTTATAGGTGAACAAGAAACACAGTTGAATGAGAGTGTGGTTTTTCCATCCTGTAGAAGGATTGCCAGCTACATCTATTCCAAGTTGTAAACTTCTTTCAAGGCTCCTGTGGAAAGGACTTGGAATAAAAATATTTAAAATATTTTAAAATACTCAGTGCAAATACTTTCTCCCCAGACTGGCTCCTTGCAGCATTTTGCTAGTGTGCAAGTCAGAATGCAAAAGCAATGCTGAAAACAACTGCCATGCTTGTTATGTACCAAATCCAGACAAATCTTACTGGCAGTGCAGTCCTGAGCATTGGCTTGTACTTTATGAAACATCTTTAAAAATCTTGGAGCACATACTGTTGGCATGTAACAATCATAGGAGTCATGTTAGAATCCATCTTGCTCATACAAGTACTCTTTGTATGTGCTAGACATCTTGGAGGAAGCCATTAAAGGGGTGTTGCACAAGGAAGGACTGGATGAACTGGGCCTCGTGGCTACTTTTCTGATCATCCTTTGATCAAGCCCAGATATCTACACATTTTTAGCAACATAAAAAAGGGTTACAGAAATCCCAATAGCTCACAAGTTTCCATACCTCTGAATTGGGCTAACCAAGATCTGCAGCTCTTCTGGGCCTCGTGTATTCTCCACTTTAATTGTCGCTCAGGAGAATGCTCAGCCTGTTCAGAAACAGGAGCTTGAGATACAGTCTGGTCTGGAGGCAAATGTTCTACTTCTGCACATGTATGCTTGCAGTCGGACAACGAACATCCACTTAGATGGATTTGTTTCACTTTCTTCAGTCTACATTGTTGCAATTTTTAAGATTTAGGTTTATTTTGTTTTAATGGAGAACTATGTAATGAGTTTCATGGAGTGAAGCTTGATGTTGCCTTCTGGCATTGTCTGAAGAGTTTTTGCTTTCTGGATTTTACAAACGAACTTAACATGGAGAAGTTCATAATCTTGTTGCGAAATACATTTAAGGGTTATAGAGAACTTGGCAAGTTGAATCCAAAAACTTATCAAAAGATCCTTTTACAAATCAAGTGGAAAATAAGTCACTTCTTGCATATAATAGATGAATATTGTACAGTCAGTGTACTTGGTCATATACGTGCTTGTTAGCCCAAGTTTTTGAGTCTTCAGTGATTTCTTCACCAAACGTTGGTGCCTATGTCATGAACTTTCTTCATTCTCTGCAAATTGTGAGTCTGCCATTGGGCTTCAGTCTGATAATTTTTTTTATTTTTGTCACAATCCAAACTGAAATGTAATCAAAATAGATGGCCTGATGCCTTCCATTGCGTAAGCTAGGACCCTTGACTGACATGTATTAATTGCCCAAATATCTGTTCACATTTGAGTTACTGGTTCAGAGGCACTATAGACAGGAATATGATATAAGGAAAAGTAAATGAAACTATCTCTTTTTCATGTGATTGTTCCAGGTATTGCCCTCTTATATCTGCAACTGTACCGTGTCACGAAAAACCAGAGCTATTTGCAGCGATCTCTTGATTATGTGAAGAGAATCCTTCGCAATCTGAATGGCAGAAGAGTTACTTTCCTCTGTGGTGATGCTGGGCCACTAGCAGTGGGTGCAGTGGTTTATCACAAGCTGAAAAATGACAGTGAATCTAAAGAATGTGTTGCCAGGTAAGTGGTTGATGGTGGAAAAAGCCATGTCCTTCATTTGTAGAGAGTGTTGGTTCAGTAACATTAGCGAGTGGAGTTTTGGAGGACAGGATTAAAAAATGGAGGCATTTTCTCCCCTGATACATATTCAGTAGAAGAATTACAAAATAGGCTTTATCTTTATTAAAGCTGGCTTACACTTGATTTGTATTTAGCCAGTTATCTTGAGTCCTTTATCGCTGTAAGGACAGGATGTCCTGGCCATATCTGTAGTGCATGCACATTTTGATTTTGTCACATTGAAGTGACATTTAACAAAAGCCACACGCTTGTCATCAGCAATATGTAGTGTTTGTGCAGTATGTGATGCTTCCTGTAAAGCATGGATCTTAATTGTAGATTCATTACAAAGCATGTACACTGCCGGGATCTGGAAATGTCCAGACAGAAACATAGTACGTTGGCTTGATCTGTAACAAAGATTTAATAAAACAAAGTAGAGGTATTTTGCTGAACCATCAAAGGTAAGGGCTTTAATTAGGTAAAAGCATACCCTTCATAGAAGAGTAGCCTGAAAAAATTCCAGCCCCTTTTCAAAGTAATCTAAATGTAACAAATGTCTTGACAAATCCCACTTAGAGGTAGAGCTTCCTTGGAGAACTGACTGTCCCTTTGCTGGTATGGAGCTCACTGCTGACATGACGGGCTGGAAGCACTGCACCCCTGTGGACTTCGCATTTGGCACCAGCAATCCACCTGGTAGCATTCCAGCAGCATACCTTAGGCTGCCAGAGTTTGTACACTAGCCCTGTGTCCTTATCTCCATTCAGGTTTATATTTGGAAATATCATTGTTCTCTTTCGAATCTATAATCCTGCTGCTGTTCCTGACTGAATATTTCAGTTTTGAAACGGGTGGTAGGTTTGGGTTTTTTTGCTTTTAGAACTGGCAATAAACTTGAGCATGTAATTTTGGATGCAGCTAGGAAAGCAGTGGTGTTGTAAGGCATGAAGGCATGAGTACAGCAAAATGAGATCAGCAATAAATCTTTTCATCTAGCCTCTCCTTGGAAAGTAATTTCTAGGAGGAAGACTGAAAAGGAGGTTACTTTGATTATTTGTTCCTTTTCTTCCTTTTTTGTTTACAAATATATTCATGACACCAGCTGAGTGGTACATTATAGATGTCGAAATGTAATCTATGATTGCAGTTTTAACTTTTTACCTTGCTGCTGTCCAATTGTATGATTTGAATAATAAACTTAACAGTGGACAGTTTAAAAGAAAGCAATTTAATTCTAAGTCTAAAGAAAGGAATGAAAGTCCTTAGAAAGGAATTCTAAGTTCCAAGAAAGGAATGATAATATAAAACTCACTTTGAGAGTGGCTTTTCCCTCGTATTAAGCAGTGACAGCATAAGTAAGCCATTGTGGTCAGTGTTTTTGCTCCAGCATGATGTTGATGCTAACATTTTTGCTGGGTAATAGTGGTTGGGGGGACCTGGGAATTGAATTCGGTCTTAATCCAGATTGTCTTGCCCCCTCCCTCAATTTAAAATGTGATCATCTCCATGGTTGCATCTAATTGCCAATTTCATCACAAAAGATAGGAAGAGATAGGAAAGGAGTGGGCAGGGAAACAGATCTCTGCTCCACCTCAGTTCTAATGCAGACTGGTAGAGTAATAGCAGGGAGTCTCTTTGGAGCAGATGAGAGTTGAGGTGGCCAGCCCGAGGTTTTTTTCCATTGCTAAAGGGAAGCAAGACACTTGTGCATAATAGCAGTGCCCTTTTCAAAATTGAGCTGCTAAATATTTGAGACAACATGTTGCCTAAGGAAGGGGACTGCTGAATGGTGGTACTGGGATTTTTTGTTCGTTTTTGGTTTTTCTCTCTTACATATCTACAATTAAGGATACTTGCTTATGTAAAATTGCCAGGGGCTCCAGGAGGTTTCCCTGTTTGTTGGAGTAGCTCTCCAGCCTCATCCAACCCTCACTCTGCACCCATGCATCTGTTTCTGTCTACACAAAAACACAGTAGTTGCTCTAATATTCACCTGGCTCTGGTTCCCAGTTGCCTGTCTGTCAGGGGTGGCAGGCACGCAGAACTCCTCTGTGTAAACCTGGCAGCCAGCTGAACTGAGGATGACTAAAGGGAAGCTGTGGGGCTTTGGCACTCATTCTGCTTCTAGTTTGATTGATGGCTTGTGCAATACATAGTCCAGTATGGTCTCTAGAAAATATGCTCTCTCCCCCTGCCTTCCTTGCAGGTTGTTGCAGCTCCAAAGGACAGTCATAAGCACAGATGCTGAACTTCCAGATGAGCTGCTTTATGGCAGAGCAGGTTACCTATATGCCTTGCTGTACCTGAATACTGAAATCGGTCCGGACACTGTCCCACAGTCTGTTATCAAAGAGGTAGCATACTTTTCTCTCTCTGGTGCCACAGCATGAGTGAGGTTGAACTGGAATCACACCTTCACATAAGTCAAGGGATTAAGAGAGGGAGGATGGAGAGGAGGGGAACCTAGAATCGGGAACTCAGTCTCATCTGTCCCTCCAATCTCTTCCCCCTTTCCCTGCTCCCCAGCTGGGACTGAGACAGGCCAGTGCGGTTGGGTCCATGGCCGACCATGGAAATGGATCTAATATGTAACTAGTTTTGGAGTATTTGAGGATGAGAAATTGTTACCAAAACCTTAAGAAAAAAGTGTGGAAGTGTTGAAGTGAAAAGAAGGAGAATTCAGAGTGGGAAGGATGCACGATTGTTCTGCAGATACCAGAACTAGAGAAGGGGGAGGCTGGAGGAAAAAGTGATTAGAAATAAGTATATATTGAATTTCTACTCTTAGAAATAGAAGCAATTCCATCATTTAGGAAAAATTCCGGTTCTACCTCAACAGTCAAGTTCAAATGAATCTAATAGTGTTGTCCTATTGTTGTTTATTGTGGCTTATTCTTTATTGTTGTTTTAGTCATGACAAAGCAAAACCCTCTGAATCAAAGTAAGTGAGACAGATGGAAGGTGTGTGTTCTCTTTCTTAGGTAATAGATGTTATTATTGAATCGGGGAAAAACTTTTCGAAGGAGGAGCGGAAAACAGACCGTTGCCCTCTGTTGTACCAGTGGCACAGGAAGCAATATGTTGGAGCGGCCCATGGAGTGGCAGGGATCTACTACGTGCTCATGCAGGTAAGAGTGTCTTCTGTGGGTTGGGGTGAAACACCAGTGATTTCTTGTTTTGCATGAGAAGATCTTATCTTCAGCTTTCATCATCACATTTCATGTGCAGTGGTGTGCTTGGTCAGGGTCTCACAACTTGGAGTTAGACTCCACTTTATTTTTAAATGAGTGCACTGCTGGTGTCTTCTGTCCTACTGCTCTCCATGCCCTTCCTGTCTCCTCCAGTGACTTGTTTTTTTCCCCCCACTATCTTGAAGCTTTTGGAAAGCTATCCTTAATCACACATTACTCTTCAGTATGCTTTTGTTCTTTAGATGTTCTTCCTCTTCCTTATCCCCCCTATCTCTTCCCCAAAAAATCTGGTGTTCCTTAGTGCATTTATGACCCCTGCTCTCCTCTTTCTGTTGTCCTGAGTGAGATTCCTCTCTTCTGTATATCTTCTCTTTCCCACACTTAAATCCATTCCCCCTGCCCTGAGATTCTCAGGCAGAATTATGATGTTTTCCAAAACAGACCTGTATATCTTATTTCTGTTGTACAATCTGGAAAAAGAGCCTTAAGATTCATGACAGAAGATGGCCATAGAGCTGTGAAATTTGTATAGGACCTGTTTCTGTTTTTTAAAGGTACTGCCAGTCTGTACATCTTTGTAAATGTTAGTTTTCTTACCAACTCAAGCAGAATGACTTTCCTTCAGGCAAGCAGAAGGATTGTGCTTCCTCACAGCCTAAAGCTGTGTACAGATGTTCACTGCAGAAGTGACTGAGCTGGTATTTGGTGTTGCCACTGCTCAGCTGTTCCTCATTTGCAAGAGATGCTGTGACTTCTCCCCATCTGTTTCAGATTAGCTCACACCACTTCCACCAGCAGCTCAGGCTAAAGTGCCTGACTTTGCTATGGAAGTTGGCTACTGCTCTGCTACCTGGGGGCATGTCTTAACCTCGCTGCAGCAATTTTCTGCAACGACCATCTCACTGGGGCCTCAGTCTGCTCTGATTTACTGTGTCCTTACCTTCAACAAGATAAGGATAAGCAAGATAAGTTGCTTTCTTCAACAAGATGGTCCACCCCTTCCGTTTACTTCATCTTCCTTGCTTCTGTTTTTCCTTCACTGGCTTGAGAAACATCCAGTCCCTTAAAAAGGCCTCTTTAAAGGCTCCAGCCTTCATTTACTATTCAAGGCTGATAGCGGAACTAATTGCACAGTGCTTTTTGGTTTAAGCAGCAGCTTCTCTGTCTACATGTTAAAATCGTAACTTTTTTTTCCTTTAAATATAATTGCTGCTTTTAAGAATTACCACAGAGTTATTGTTTATGCAGCATTAGATTACTGCCTTTTCACTGTACATTAAATATTGTGAGTCATGCAGAATTGAGTCATCCACTGCAGAAGAAGATGGCATATTGGAGTCCATCCTTTCCCCCATCCTTCCCACACCAAACGAGGAGAAATTTTTTTTGTATTTTCAGCAAAGAATTTAGGAGACAGTTTGAGTGGTTGTTTGATAACAAAAAAAGGGCATCCAACATAGCACCTGAGATTTGAAGGTCACTTCATGATTTCTGTACAACACCTTTATGATGAAACATGTATTGCTGAATTTACTTACAGAAGACTATTGGAAGAATAAGAGCTCAACAGTGTTAAATAATTCATCCAGGAGGTAGAAGGGGAATTCTGACCTGTTGGTAGAAGTCCAGAAAAGATTTCCTGACTGAGGTGAAACAGAGGCTTTTGGTTATTTCGGGTTACTAAAAATACAGCTATTTAAAGTGTTCCTTCATCTGACCGTAGGACTGTGAATTGTGGTGGTGTGCTAACCCATTGAATGCAAATGTGGGAAACAGTAAAGTTGTATGACATTGAGTCAGCAACAGAGACAAGTTACTTAAAAAATAAGCTCAGTTATTAGCTTCTGTAGGCTTCGGTTTCTGGAGTTGTTCCTGCAGCTTGCAGGAATTCCAGAAATCCAGTAGGCTGTGTAAAAATGGAGAACTCTGTTATGAAAATACTGTAAAATGGACTGGTAGAGGAGTGAATGCCGACTAAGAACAACTTACAAGGAGTGTGCAGGTTGATGGATATATTCTTCTTTTGGCAAGGATGTAAACTAAATACAAGAAATGAGAAGGAAAATTCAGAAGAGCAATCTAAAGATGAGTTTGTAGTACAAAGATGTTTAGTTACCTTGAGAAGTAGCTGTTGCTTCTGAAATTGGAAATGCTGATTTATAGCCCATAGCTTCAGGGAGATTTGTTTATGGTGGGAAACTAACTTTCATAAACCAGGCCAGGTATGCTACTACATACACTCTTCTTCATTTATTGGGAAATAGGACTGGTTCGTTTACATTAGTTATTTTTAAAACAAAATGTTTTTAAAACAACACACACTTACAACACAATGGGTTTTATGAGCAACTAATCTATAAAACCGTCTTTTTCCTGTAAGCGTTCTCTCTATTTTAAGATACAAAGAGAGGCCTGGGAGTCTTGAAATCTGAATTCTGCTCTCAGTTCTTCCATAGTCTTTCTGTGTCACCTCCAGTAAGACAGGTAAGAACTTGGTGCCCCAATTTCTTTGTCTTTACAGTAGCTGTAAAAATGCTCTTCACAAGGGTATTGTGAGCAGATATTAATGAAATCTGTATGAAGTGATTCAAAGTATTTGGGTCAAGGCCATGTATGTAGGCTACTTGAAAATAGATCATAGGCTTACGTGTTGATACACAATTTGTTGCTACTTCTGTTTATGGCTCTGGTGATTTTTTTTTTTTTTTAATGTTTTCTTTAGCCAATTGCAAATGTGGACCAGGAGACCCTGACAGAGCTGGTGAAGCCAAGCATTGACTATGTGCGTCATAAAAAATTCAGGTCTGGGAATTACCCATCATCACTGAGCAATGAGACTGACAGACTGGTTCACTGGTGCCATGGTGCCCCTGGAGTCATCCACATGCTCATGCAAGCTTACAAGGTGAATCATTCTGTGTTTATATAGAACTTTATTTTTGCAGAGACCTCTATGCAGGCCCGTCAGATTATAAGGCTCGCATTTTACATCTTTCTAGATCTAGACTTTCAAACCGGAACCCTAGATTAGGCACCTAAAAATCTCAAAATACTTACATAGGTATGTTTGTAAAGAGGAAATAAGTGGGTAAAATTGCTTCTCAGGGTGATAGTAGTTACTAGATTTTAGGCTTTCTTGGAAAAGGGCCATGTATTTAAACAATCTGGTATCAGAGTCCTGGGTGTGAGAACATTGACCTAAATTCTTTGAATCTTCATCCCAAGGGTTTTAAGAATTATGTTAGTTTTCAAAAGTGTAGGTTATGTGTCTTGCCAAAGAATGTCTTCCATAAATTACTCCATTATTAGCATATAGCTCTTGAGAACTTAATATCAAAGCAAAGATCCCAGACCCCTTCTAGGGCATAAATATAACCGCTGAGCTACCACAAGCCTACTGTTTGCGCTTATCCATCCTTAACTAGGTTTGCTATCTCTCTTGTGTTGTGCACTTCTGATTTGCATGACATTTGAAAGTATGCCATTTAATTAAATTTATGCAAATTGATTCCTGCCCTTGACAGTCTTCCTTGGCAGATTCCCTGATTGGCCTCTGGGTGGGCTGATGAAAAGCAGGTTCGGTTTATGGAATAATTACTCGTGCTGCTACCTGAAACGTGAACTGTAAATTTCCTACAGCATTGCTGAATGTAGCAGCAGTCACAGTTGCTTTTTCTTTGGACTGTGGTAGGAGGTTGACTTAACACTGCAGACATCTTTCTGCCCTCCCATACCTCCTCTGTCAATGCGATGCTTTCCTGGCACAAAATGTTTTGCAGGAGATAAGAGGGATAGCAGCAAGTTCTGTTTAGCAGTCTCCTTTCTGGCCTCTTTTCATGTTTCAGATGATAGGGCACATGATGCTTTTCTTTTAGTCTTTATAATCTGCTTTTTGAAGAAGTGATAAGAAAAATTGGAGTATGTTTTGCTGGCTGTGCTTTCATACCAAGCCCACGGACGTGCAATGACAGACAGCAGTGTTTGTCCTGGAAATCAAATGCTGATGCCAGGCCTTCATTTGAAATGTTACAGCTAAGTAGCTGACAAACCCTGTTCAGAGAAGAGGGCCTTTCTGCATCAAGCTTGTGCGTTTAAGAACCTTGCATGTTAATTGCTTCTGTTAGGGCATGTGCAGGACATCCAAGGGATCAGG